AGGGTTAAAATGTGGACATTGAAAGCAATATTAATTTCAGGTGTCTGGTCACTGATAGGGTTAATCACTACTGATCTACTAAAAGATGAGTATGGACAATGCATGCGTAGGGAATAGCAGGCTCAAAAGGAAAAGTCAAGCTTTGTGCAAAAAGCAACCTTTGTCCATGAAATCAGAGAAAATCAACAATGAGGGTGATACTGTTGGGGAGGTGAGCAGTTAAAGAGCACCTGGATGTCAGAAAACAGGATGGAAATGAGACCTACAGGTTCCCATGATAAGCAGGGTGATAGCCCTGCTTATCATGGTTGATGGTTTAGAAAGACACGTAAGCAAACACTATAACATATTTATTAGAAAACGTTTCGGTCCTGGGACCTTGATCACTTCGGTCCCAGGACCGAAACGTTTTCTAATAAATATGTTATAGTGTTTGCTTACGTGTCTTTCTAAACAAACTTGTCGGTATTTATTACCAAGGTTTATACCATCATGGTTGATAAATCAAAATGTGCTGGACCATCAAGACAGTCAAAGAAGCACCAGGTTTGTTTCCATGAGATTCCCATGAGTGAGGTATGCATGTGGTCAATATTTCAATATCAAGAACAATTTCCCACAGCTGGCAGTGATGGAAGGAAGCTGAAGAGAAACAGCTGCAGTTTGATTGTAAAAAGTTTGTTGGCCTTCAACACAGACCAAAGATGCTGCCAACAAACATGTATGCATCAAGACGGGATGGGAGATACAGTGGACCCCTGCATAACGATATTAATCCGTTCCTGAGAGCTCATTGTTATGCAAAATTATCGTCATGTGAATGAATTTTTCCCATAAGAAGTAATGGAAATCAAATTAATCCGTGCAAGACACCCAAAAGTATGAAAAAAAAATTTTTACCACATGAAATATACATTTTCCTACACACAAAGAGAAGGATACATGCACAATAGTAGAGTAGTACATGCACAATATATATTGTGCATGTACTACTCTACTAAATGAAGAATAAATGACACTTACCTTTATTGAAGATGCAGCAATGACTGATGAGACACTGTGTCCTGGGAGTGCCTTTTCCTCCTGAGTACTGTAGGTCCTGTTTGGCATTTTCTTCCAGAACAGGCCTTATCACACTGTGTATGCCACTACGATTCTTAAATCTCTCAAACCAACCTTTGCTGGCTTTAAATTCACCAATATGAGCACTAGTTCCAGGCATTTTTCCCTGTTCACCTGGGTGTTAGTCGACTGGTGTGGGTTGCATCCTGGGAGACAAGATTAAGGACCCAATGGAAATAAGTTAAGACAGTCTTCGATGACACTGACTTTTTTGGGTTATCCTGGGTGGCTAACCCTCTGGGGTTAATTGTTTCTTGGTATTCCCAATAAGCCACACCAACAACGGTGCTATAGCAGCAGCAGCTGACCGTGCTACAGCAGCAGCAGCAGCAGCTGACAGTGCTACAGCAGCAGCAGACGGTGCTACAGCAGCAGCAGACAGTACTACAGCAGCAGCAGCAGCTGACGGTGGTACAGCAGCAGCTGACGGTGCTACAGCAGCAGCAGCAGCTGACAGTGCTACAGCAGCAGCTGAGTGCTACAGCAGCAGCAGACAGTGCTACAGCAGCAGCTGAGTGCTACAGCAGCAGCAGACGGTGCTACAGCAGCAGCAGACGGTACTACAGCAGCAGCAGCAGCTGACGGTGGTACAGCAGCAGCAGCAGCTGATGGTGCTACAGCAGCAGCTGACAGTGCTACAGCAGCAGCAGCATCAGCAGTTGACGATGGTACCACAGTATTTCGATAATATTTCTCACCCCTTTTTACCACAGGGTTGGCACTAGAAGCTTTCTTGGGGCCCATGGTCACTTATTTTGCAGATAAAATCACCAAAAACGCTGTAATAATACGAAATATTCCGATTGTATGCTTGGATGTTACCGCGGAGGCTGGCTTGTAAACAATGCCACCGGCAGAACATGCGAGGCTGGCTCAGGCCTCACATAGACGCGTCTTGGACGAATAGCGTTGAGCGGTTTTTTTAGCGGTATGCGAGGCAAAATCTTAGCGATAAAATGTATCAGCATGCAGATTTAACGTTATGTGATGCCAACGGTATGCGGGGGTCCACTGTATAGTCAGAAAAAGGGAAGTCTCTATGGAATGGAAGGTCCTCAGCTGAACAATGAGCAGGGAAGTCTGCAAGTTCACTGTCCTAAATACCAATATGTTTAAGGACTCTACAAAGGACAAAATCCTTGTCTTGACTGAAGAGACAGCACAGCTGTGTACCCAACATCTTCAGTAGATTTAAATCCACTGATGTACACAGGAATAACATGGGAGTGTAACTGAAAATGCTCAAGAAATAAGCAACGTCCAGAGGAAAGATACACGACTTCAAAAGTGGAAGGGATAGCTACATGCAACAATGTCCCATGGTAGTGCAATGTACTACATATGGTGCAGTGAAAGTGTAGGGGTGGAAGATGAATAGCAATTAAGAGCTTGCATGCAAACATGAAAGGAATGCTGACTGAAGAAATATTTTATCCGAGTATCCTCTAGGATGATCATGTAGACAGCATATTAGATTCCTCATACAAGCTTTTAATGCAGGACTAAGGAAAGGTACCAAGAAACAACTATAAGCCCTGATGGTGAATATAAAGCTACGAAAAAAAATAATTATAAGCTTAGATAAAAACCAATGCCAAATGTAAATGATAAGATTTATCTATCTGCTTTAAAACAGAGCATGACAAAATTTTAAACAAGTTCAATCTTGAGGCATGCCATCCTCAGAGAGAATGTATGAATCCCATGGGTTACGGCAGTCAAACAGACTTTTGGATATAAAACTAAAAACCGTAAAACATAGCCCAGTCAGACATGACCTACCACACAATACAATAAGAATGTCACCTGCTGTAGGTTTGTGCCAGCACAAGTAATGGCAAAATCATCCACATACAAAGAGAACCAAAAACCCTGACCACTGATGGTGCTATAGAATAAGGTTGTGTTGAGGACATTACCTTGGAAAAGCTCTTCAGTTTGAATAAAGTCTGACATGTAAATGGCAGCCTACTATGGAGGTCTTAAGAAAAAATGGAAGGATGCCTTCCAAGCCAAAAGAATGGGCTTGGGACAAGATGTCATACTGTCAGGGAATGAAATATGCTTTCTCTAGGTGGGAAAAGACCACATCAAAAACTGGCATTTAGCAAAAACATGGAAACAGTCCCAGCATTTGCCTTTCTTAGGTTATCTGGGCTTATTATTGTACAATAACTATATTTACAAGATCATACACCTGGGGACCAGGAAGCTATCAGGTTTGATTCAAAGAAGGGGGGAATGGGTTTAGTTCCTTGGATCAAGAGCCTCTCACCAGCATCATGGGTTATTATTGAACAAACTAATTGGGGGAAGTGGTCAGTAATGGCAATTGCGGGAGTCAGAGAAAAGATTGTTTTGCTGTGATAGTAACAATGAACTTTGTCTATTGTTTCCAAATTTATTGACCCAGTGGATTTTGTTTTGTATTTCCTGTGGTATTATTATTATATTTAGGGTAAGAACTAGACCTGTAGAGGTCATACAGTGCCTGGGGAATGGGAGGCAATCAGGTTTGATCTAAGGAAATGGAGGAACAAGTTCAATTTCTTGGATCAAGATTATTATTATATTCAAAACTAAGTGCTAAACTCACAAGGGCCTTGTATCAAGAGCCCATCACCAGCAGCAAGGAACCTCCCTTAAGAGACCAGAATAGAGGAGCCTTCCTGAGGGAATACCCTGAGTTAAAGCCACAATGTATTTTTTATGTATTTATAACAACTGTGTACCCTCAAGACCATTATTTGTAAAAAAAAAAAATTACAAGACCTTATGATTTATAAATGCTTCAAGGTGTAATACTCCTCATAACAAGGAAATAAATTACACTGACTTTATTGGGTTATCCTAGTTTAAATCTACATAGTGAGTGCTTTGACTGAACTCCGGCTAATATCATGAGAGTGTAATGTATCTGGAGATTATCTTCCTGCCAGTTCCACACCCTGTATTCTAGTATGGAAGCTTGTGGTAGCACAACAGGGCTTGATTACATTATTTATATGTGCTAGTGAGGCAGTGTTACCTATGATGCACTGTGTGGACCCACCTGGTTCCAGATTTTTTTTTCCAGGTGTGAAGGGCGGTAGAAAACCTAAACAGTTGCACTGAGGCTTAAAATATCAGCATGCAGCGTATTTGAAAGCATGAAAATTAAGTGTACAAGTACCCCAGGCACAGATTCGTCTCCATCTGTTAATTGAATACAGCTCAAAGAACTTATCCATGAGGTCGACTAAGGACACCTGAGATACATGGAGCTGACTGCCATCATATAATGGTGGCAGCAGCAGTCTGGCCCTCAACACAAGTGGAGCAAGAGTGCCTATTGGCACTGTTTGTAAAAAAAGGTTGCAGCTTTAAGGATAAAAGATGACAGCAAGTGTGTGAGAAGCTCCCTACATATTGTTGATGTGATGACAGATGCACGCGTTACCGACATATGGTTGAGGAGAAAGCAGGTTTTGAATGGTTACCTATGTAAGGTGATGGTATACAAGTGGTCACTGACACATGGTGACTGATGGTGCAAGAGTGGTAATCTATGTGAGATGACTGATGACAGAAGTGGTCATTTACATAAGATGATTGATTATACAAGAGTTGTCATTAATGTGAGGTGACTGATGGTGCAATCTGTGAGGTAACTGAAGGTGCAAAAGTTGTCATCAATATCACTGATGGTACAAGAGTTGTCATCTATGTGAGGTGGAGGAGCAAAATATTGGGTGCAAATAGTTTTTGTATGCCTAATTATTTAGAGATAGTATAAACACATTATCTTGATATACTCAGTGAGTAATCCACATATGAACAACACAACTAACTAATCAAACATCTTACTATAAAAAAGGTAAACAGAAAAACCCTCAACATATAATAAATAAAATTTTAATATTTTTTTATTTAATAAATACCCTTTAACCAATGTTGGAAGGGTCAGTAAATCGAGAGGTAAGAATGTAAAAGAGGGCTGGTAGAGGCACTAGTGCACATAGAGAGCCATGAAGGACTCCTTCTGTCAGCTGTGTAATTGCAACAATACCATAAGCATGCAATCCCCAATGACCTAGGAGAATAACGAGATTACGTACGTCCCGAACACATCCCATCAGGAGGCCAGGCATTGACTGCAAGAAATGAGAAAACCAATGAATTATATATTTATCTCTGTAACTCAAAAATAAATTATTCTGTATACACTAAATTATCCTGTATACATTATAGGTAGTAGATTAGTAGACAGCAACCACCCAGGGAGGTACTACCGTTCTACCAAATGAGTGTTAAACACAAGCCTGTAATTGTTTTGCATGATGGTGGGATTGCTGGTGTCTTTTTCTGTCTCATAAACATGCAAAGTTGCAGGTATGTCTTGCTACTTATACTTACACTTTGGTCACACTACATATGCATGTACAAGCAAATACAGGTCCACATTCCTTTATCTGAAACCCTTGGGGCTAGTACTGTTTCGAATTTCAGACTTTTTAGAATTTCAGAATGATTCTCAACGCCACCACATGGCGGTGTGACCCAGCACCGAGATGACTGATGCTCCACACTCCACGAAAAAACTTTGTTTTTTTGAACTTTTCAAATTTCAGAATGTGGACCTATACTATATACTAACCCCTCTCGGTTTTCTTCTATTTTTTCCTAGTTCTTGTTCTTGTTTATTTCTGCTTATGGAACAGAAATCTTCCTCCATAATCTGAGTGTCGTAGGAGGCGACTAAATGCCAGGAGAAATAAGCTAGTAACCCCTTCTCCTGTATTATACTACTAAAACCAAGGAAAAGAAAAACTTTATAAAGCTGAATGGGGTAGGGGAGTTTCAGTGGGGAGAAATAAAAGGGATTAAGTCAGGAGTATCTGAGAGAGTTAGAGCTAAGGAAGGGGTAGCAATAATGTTGAAGAATCAGTTAAGGAGAGAGAAGAGGGAACATAAATGCATAAATTAAAGGATTACGTGGAGATGGGAAGTACAGTGCCGGCACTCTGAAGGAGGGGTGTTAATGTTGCAGTTTTATAACTGTTGTGTAAGCTCGTCTCTGGCTAGACAGTGATGGAATGAATGATGATGAAAGTTTTTCTCTTTCAGGCCACCCTGGCTTGGTGGGAAATGGCCAATGTGTTAATAAAAAATAATAAATAATGTGAAAGTGGGTCATAATAAGTGTATGCACCTGAAGTAGAATAAGTTCACAATTTTGCCATTATATTCCAAAGCTCATTTATTTGATTACCACTTTATTGGTCACCACAACTTATATTAGTCCCTTTTATATTATTATTTTATACTTTAATTCTAACTTTAAAGAATTACCTTTACAGTACTACCTACTATCATATTCCCAAGCTCCATTATTTTATCATCACTTTATTTGTATTAGTCCCTTTTTTATAGCTCATTATTTTACATTTGTTAAATAATTCAGGTGCTATTTTTTAGCTTAAGACTATTTTACTTTGTTTTATACTTAATTCTAACTATAGATTCACTACAAATCTTATGATTACAAGCATTGATCCTGATACCAACCTCTTATTTAATGACTTAAATGAATCAAACAGTTACTGTAATTACTACACTGCAGAACAATCAATGGCACTTCTCAGTGCCAACAACAACATAACTATCTTTAACTACAATATCAGATCTTTAAGCAAGCATTACGATGACCTCATAGCATTACTAAATTCCTTACATGCCAATATGTCCATCATTACACTAACTGAAACCTGGCTAAAGCCTGATAGTACAGATGTCTATGCCATTCCTGGTTACACAGCCATACACAACTGTAGGCCAGACCAACAAGGGGGTGGCACAGCCATATACTACTCAGACCAACTAGAATGTATCACTAATACTTGCACAAGGGATGAACATGGGGAATATATAATAGCCAAATTCAAATCCAAATACCTACAAAAACCTCTCACATTGATAAACATCTACAGAGTTCCACAGTCAAACATTAGCCAATTTAGTCAAAACCTAGGAAGTATGATAACTGATGCACGCTTGAACAAAGATCACTTACTACTCTCAGGTGACTTCAATATAAATCTCCTGCAAGACCAGGACCCACACGTTACTGAATTCACAAACACAATGAGTAACTGTATGTTGCTACCAACAGTAACAAAACCTACAAGAGTTACAGAGACTAGTGTTTCCCTACTTGACCACATCTGGACCAACACCATATCCCCTTTAAAATCAGGCATAATTACAGATAATACCACAGACCACTACCCTACTTTTCTCATAACAACTCTTGGTAAATTACCCCAAGACACTACTAAAGTCACCTTCAGACTTCACAATGAGGCAGCCATTAATAACTTCACAACAGCAGTAGCAAACATTGACTGGCACACTGAGCTAGAAATCTATACAGATATTGACGAATGTATTAATAATTTTCTAAAAAAGACCCAATACCTCTATAACAAGCACTGCCCTAAAAAAACTAAACAGATGACAGCTAAGAGACTGAACAGTCCCTGGTTAACACCCAGCATTCTCAAATCCATAAATACAAAACACCAATATGAAAAACAGTACAGAATGGGTCACATAACCAGAGACCAAACAAAACGTTACTCGTCAATCCTAACCAGCCTGATAAGAAGGGCAAAAAAATTGTATTATGAGAACAGATTATCCAACTTACGAGGTGATATAAAAAAGACCTGGAAAACCCTATCAGAAATTCTAGGAACAAAAAAGTTATCACGAAATAGCGAAATAAAATTAGCAAAATCAGATGAACCCCAACTCCCACCAACAGAAACAGCAAATAGACTCAATGGCTTCTTCTCCACTATAGGACAAAACCTTGCCAATAAAATCCCAAGCTCAGATACCCCACCAAATGACTTCCTCACCCGGGAACTACCCGAACACACTGTTCCTAGCTCCGACTAACCCATACGAAGTCTCCCTTATTATCAACACACTAAAAAACAAGGCAGGAGATTTAAATACCTTACCACCCTTTATATACAAAAAAGTGTCACAAGTGCTATCACCAATCATTGCAACACTCTTTAACAAATCCATTGAATCCTCCACCTTCCCTACAGTACTCAAAATAGCAAGGGTCACCCCGATCCACAAAGGAGGAGACCAAACAGAGTTGAATAACTATAGGCCAATATCCAACTTACACCCTCTCTCAAAAATCTTCGAAAAATTAATTCATAAACGAATCTACTCCTACCTTATCTCCCAAAACATACTCAACCCCTGCCAATTTGGATTCAGGCCAAATAAAAATACTAATGATGCTATTATACACATGCTAGAACATATATACACTGCAATAGAGAAAAAAGAAGTCCCACTGGGGATCTTCATTGACTTACGTAAAGCTTTTGATACAGTTAACCATGACTTGCTCCACGTAAAATTGTCACACTATGGCATAAGAGGGCACTCCCTCAACTACCTCAAGTCATACCTCAGCAACAGAAGCCAATATGTGTATGCAAATGGGGCAAACTCTTCTGCACAACCAATTACAGTTGGTGTCCCACAGGGAAGTGTCCTTGGCCCTCTTCTCTTTCTCCTATACATAAATGACCTACCAAATGCTTCGCAATTACTCAAACCCACACTATTTGCAGATGACACTACATACGTCTTCTCCCACCCGAGCCCAGTCACGCTAGCCAATACTGTAAATACCGAATTACAGAAAATATCTACCTGGATGAGGACTAACAAACTTACACTAAACATTGACAAAACCTACTTCATTCAGTTTGGTAACAGAGCTACAGATGTCCCTCTTAACATAATGATAAACGGATCACCTATCACAAAGCTAACAGAGGGAAAATTCTTAGGAATCCACCTTGATAATAGACTCAAATTTCATACACATATACAACAAATTTCTAAGAAAATTTCCAAGACTGTAGGCATACTATCGAAGATACGGTACTATGTTCCACAGTCAGCCCTCCTGGCCCTATATCACTCTCTTATTTACCCCTATCTCATCTATGGAATTTGTGCATGGGGCTCAACAACAAGTAACCATCTCAGACCACTAATTACCCAACAAAAGGCTGCAGTTAGAATGATAACAAATTCTCACTATAGGCAGCACACTCCACCAATATTCAATACACTAAACCTACTCACCATACAAAACATCCATACTTATTACTGCACCTATTACATACATAGAACACTTAACTCTGATATTAACCCTCCCCTCAAACATCTCCTTGCCAACCTCAACAGAACACATGACCATAACACAAGGCACAGATCACTCTTTGATGTTCCTCGTGTCCATCTCACACTATGCAAAAAACTCAATGCACATAAAAGGCCCTAAAATCTGGAATTCATTACCTGTAAATATAAAAGAAACACTACCTGTTTATAAATTCAAGTCTCTTCTCAAAGATCACTTACTCACCCAAAACCAAATAAATACTGAATAACTGAACCTTATAAATTGTATATCTTAAATGTTTCTCACAATTATATCACATAAATGTTAAACCTAAAACCCAATCTAACTTTATTATTTTTTAAATACACTACCTAACAGAATACTCCATTCTACTGAATGTACAACAATGCATACAACCATATGACCTGTCTTTGTAATACTCACTTGTGCTTTATAGTAATCTGTTTACATTAAAGTTTTATCACTGATTTCATCATTGCTTAGTTAATCTTAAGTTAATTTTAAGCCAGCCCGTAATGCTATGCATAGTATAAGTGGCTTTGACATGCTGCTCTTATCTGTATTTTTTGTACCTCTGTATGTGTGCTCAAATTTTAAATAAATAAATAAATAAATAAAAAAGAAGAGACGAGTGTAGAGGAGAGAGAGAGATTTTAGATGTTAAGCAAGTGTGTAGGAAATTTAGAGCCAAGTGAGAGAGTAACTGTGGTAGGAGACCTTAATGGTAAAGTAGAAGTGTTTAAAGAGAGTGTGGTAAGTAAGTTTGGGGTGCCAGGTGTAAATGATAATGGGGAGCATTTGATTGAACTCTGTATAGAAAGGGGTTTGGTTACAGGTAACACATTTTAAGAAAAAGAGGATAAATAAGTGTACAAAATACGATATAGGGCGTAATGATAGTAGTTT